TCCTTTGCCCCTATACTTTTGGAACGCACTGTATCATGAGAAGCTGAGTTTGGGCATCGAATTGTAGCGCACTTGCTCGGTCGAAGGTGCGAGTTGGAGACCCGCCTGCGGCGAAAGTTGTGTTCATAATCCACCTTCATTAAACTTTCACAGAGCAAGCTGCGGCCAAAAACAGCAATTAAGACAGCCGTCACACTCGGCGACGGGCAAGCGATGGAGCGATCGCGATCGCTCCATCGCTTGTCCGTCGCCGAGTGTGACGTTGGTCTAAGGACTACAAACAAGCTTAGGGTTTGCATTGCGACTTTTTCATTCGTTTGCATTGAACTTTCGGTGACTTCGTATGAAACACAGCATTGCATTACCACAATAGAACAAGTTTAGCATATGAGTACAAAAAATGCTGTCTAAAAATATGCTACTTCTACTCAATGCTATCCTACAGTAGGCCCCGTCACGGCACAGCAGCATCCAAGAATTTTTGATGCCTTTGGTAAACTTGTAAACAATGGAAAGTCAAACTTGAAACGAGAACTTAATCATCATAGAACGTTACCTGGAGTTCGAAGAAAGTAAAAAAAAATACCTTAATAATTGCCCTGTCGGCAAATACTAAATAACCGCACTGATCTGGAATTTTCGACAGAAATGCAAAACTCGTATCAACAGTCATCTGAATTGAACTCTGAATGAACATTTGTTCACATATGGAAAACATGAAACTGAATAAGGTAAATGAGATAGACGTTGACCGAATGACACAAGCAGAGCGACAATAAATAAGATTTATGCAAAATTATAGAAATCTTGAGATACAAAGCTTTCATACTGAATCGTATGCGAAAACCCATAAATATGTACATGTAATGCAAGAAATGTTCTACAGTGCCATAATCGCAACAGGGATTAGATCGTGACGGAAGTGGAATTTTTGTCTACCCGCTCTAGAAGTAATTTCAGGCCTTCTTCAAACTTGGAGCACCTAAACCGTGAAAACAATATTTGAACAGCAGTTGTAACCCAATGAAGAGGGTATCTACTCGTGAAGAGAAAATGCTTTACCTGATGGGCATATCAATGGCATAGAACGGATTTTTCAAGGCGTAGTCGGCATAAAGTTCATAAAGTTTATTGAGGAGAGACTCGATGGGAATGGTAGCCGTTGGTGACGTTACCACAACAAATTTCACCCCTTAAAGGATCATTAGATAGAATTTTAACGGTAGGCTAAGGGCGCATTCATGATCGGTCGTAACAGTGTAACGATCGCACAGTATTAGATACCGATGCATCGTCCAATTCCCAGACAGGTCTGACGATCGATACGCATCCAATGCCGTGCGATCGGGCGATCGACTATGAACGCGCCCCCAACAGCTCAAATATAGGCGAGGAGAACGCACCTGTTCTGCTTTGCAAACATGATAACCGGAACTGTGTCGTTTCCATTACCTAAAATGACTGTTAGTTACTATGCAGACTTAAAATGAACACTAGCTTGCTCAAAAACTATTATTACGAGTCATGGAGCTGTCCGTAAACAAAATTTATTTTAGACATGCATGCTATTACCGAGTCTACGCAACAAAATATAAAAAATAATAATAAAATCATTACGCAATTACGAAACTACTCTGATTTAGAAGCTTGTGATTACCTCAATTCCAGAACTCCAGCTGCTGGACTTAATTGCACAGCAATTGTGAATAATGAATGGAACATGGAAGAAAGTATGATTTTCTCATTCGTAGAAACTGATGGAGGCGAGAACCGGATGCTGACCTGCAAATGGAACTGTAGTCTACTAATTATCATTGATACAAAAAGAGAAAATTGATCTATGGGGAGCAGAATTGATCTTACTGGGAAATTAGATTCATCCTCCAAATATCTCAGAACATTGTGCTCCGTATCATCAACGAAAAATCTCGTGCCTGACACCTTGGATCCATTGATTCCCGTAATGTAGTATCTGGGCAAGTAATGGAATGGTATAAGGCGAAGAACAGCACTGAACCAGGAATGCATTTGCGGATCACTTACCTCAGTTTTACTCCATCTTTCTCTCCGAAAACAACCATCGCTTTTTGATCTACCTCCTCCAAAATAATATCAAGGGGATATTCACAAATCCGCTCCACTTCGACCTGTCAAAATGTAATAACACCTCTTCAGCGAGGAAGAGAATATCCGCAATAGCTTACCACATCTGTCTTAGCCTCCCAGTCATAGATTAGACTCCCAGCTCTACTTATAATGAAAACCTGTTGTATTGACATGAAGAAATATTTCTATAAATGGAAACGGCTATAAAAATAAGGTGCTATTGATGAAAATAAATAAGGATAGGATAAGGATATCAACCATCACGATAGATACACCTGCTCATAAAATCTTTATTTAGACTAGTCAACGAAAGGACAACAAAAACGAGATCGTACTATATATAATCTTCAATATAACAACAAACAAGGTGAGCTTACTTATTAATCGGCTTCAGGGTGAAACCTCGGGAATCAAGATCCTTTGACGATTTTGCTTTCAGTGCTTTGTTAAGATCATCTCTGACTTGCTTGTTCACCAAAGTGTAATCCTCTTCGGTCTTTTTCATTGAGTCTTGAAGAATTTTAATACTTTCTGGTGTGGTGAACTCCATCATGAGAGTGTCTGTGAGAGCAATCCAAGTTGTCGAATCCTGTTTACATTTAGCGTTACTAATAAATTCTTGGAAATAAACACTCAACGATGGAAATACGTGAAAAAAGTAAGATCACAAGTAAAAATGGGCGCAATGTGGCTCCGGGGAGGGGCAGCCTGTAACATTGCGTCAGATTCACGAAAACTTTCAGTTTTGGGACTAAGCTTTGGAGGAAAAGAGGGAATCCGAGCTGCGTAAGCAATTTTCATTCGCTCCGGAATTCGTCCCTCTGCGTTAGGCTTAGTCCTAGTGGCCTTCCGACAGACTGCCCCCCCCCCGGAGGCACACTGCGCCTAAAAATGAAACAAAATTATAAATTAAGCGGCAAGGATTTTGATCCTCCATAATCCGTCGCACATTTGGTTTTCGATAAAAACACATCATCATTTCAACGCGCACTACACGTTTTTTCATATCAGCCAGCTACCAACTACCAAACCGGAGTATGATAGCCCAAACGATACTACATGAGCTTTTTTCACTTAACCAACCTCACCCCAGGATAATGGAAATCATAAACTACCTGGCGCTATCGCAGGATCGGGGGTATTATAGTGGCAACGCATTCAAAACCACGAAAAATATAACCTTTCTGTTTACAACGGCACAAAGGCTGGTACCAGAGTCCGCGATCCGTCGCGCGATTCGCGCGATGGATCACAGAAATCACAAGTGCCCCGATCAATACTGCGAGGTGCTCTCCAATCCCGCCGCCATTTCTGCTTGATGGTGATTGAATGACGACTGTTCATGATTCTACTTGTTTCATATTCAGTGTTTCAAATGTTAATGAGCACTTGCGATTTTTGCAATTCGCGCGAATCGCACGCCGGATCGCGGACTCTGACACCAACCTAAGCCTTAGATGGGGAAAAGTCAAGAGTGCGTACGCAATTTTCATTTTCCCCGAAGTTCCTGCCCCTCCTAGGCCTAGTCCTAGTGAATGCCCTTGCCTGGTGATAGCACGATTATTGTTCTTCGTAAAATCGTGGCCGTGAACTCATTCTAGCACCTACTTCTACTTCCAAAACGACTGAATGCAAATATGAAATGCAAATATGAAATCTTGATCGTGTCAAGGGGAATGAAAAAAGAAGAGTGAAAGCATCAATACACACTGTCGAGGATTTTTCAACAACCGAGAAGCTTCGCGAATTTTCTGCCTTCTAATGTCGAGTTCGAGTAACTTGGCCGAACTATCTAGTACCCTAAAAATAGACAATTACAGGCAAATTTCTATTCTGACTATTGGAGGCAAGGCAGTATTCGTATTACAGGCATAAGAGGGCAAAAAAGTCATCGTAATTTATGCGCCAAAATCACCAAACTTTTTTCGTCGCAGAGGGTTGCCTCCGTTGATGGAAGTTTCACAGCGAGACTCCTTAAATTCCCCGCGTTGGTAGAGCAGGCCCCCTTCCTCTGTCCCCACCGTCTTCTGAATATGACGTCATCTGTCATCACCATCGATCTCAAAGAGGCTAACCGTAATCGCTCCTCCTTGAAGTGTGGGTAAGTGCTTCAATCGGATAACTGATGGTTTTGCTCTACAAGGGAAGGATACCAGGTCGAAGTGGCCATTTGTAACGAGACATACACCACTAGATGTGTTTTTGGACGCTGATCTCGAATCTGCTCTCCAAATCTGCGAAACGATTCTCTGAACGTAGTTATGAAGCGAGATAGTGCAGTGGCAGCGGCCCGGGCCGACGAGCAAGAGGTCGTGAGATCGACTTCTTGGCGAGTTTTCAGCTGCTTTTCTTGAAAACATTGTTCAAAGGACTCTTATGCATGCTAAATCATCAGCAGAAGGCCTATCCTACAAGAGGAAAAGCTGGCACTGTGCGCGTCATTTGCAAATGACCGTCTCTGGCACCCGTAGCGCATGCGTCATGCACTTTCTTGCCAAGTAGATGTGATTTTCGTGTTCAGCGCATCAAACTACCCCTTCCGACAACTTTTGGTCCAAATCCAAAATTTTGACCTAAAGTCGAAAGTGTGGGCAAATGACGCGCCCAGTGTTCGAAGCTCTTTTCCAGCTCTTTCCTCTTGTAGGATAGGCAGTCGCTGATGATTTAGCATGCATAAGAGTCCTTTGAACAATGTTTTCAAGAAAAGCAGCTGAGAACTCGCCAAGAAGTCGATCTCACGACCTCTTGCTCGTCGGCCCGGGCCGCTGCCACTGCACTATCTCGCTTCATAACTACGTTCAGAGAATCGTTTCGCAGATTTGGAGAGCAGATTCGAGATCAGCGTCCAAAAACACATCTAGTGGTGTATGTCTCGTTACAAATGGCCACTTCGACCTGGTATCCTTCCCTTGTAAGATCTTTAGTTCCGACTAAGCAACATCCCTTGCTACCAGCTTTCTGATAAGGTCGTAGTTGCCCACGGTCCGTCGAGAACATCTTTGACTATAACCGTGCACCATGTTCCGGGGAGAGACTTCTGGCAACACCAGCACTAGCAACAGCATCTCCTCTTCAGGCAACAGACCAGATTTCGGTAGTAAATATGGCTTCAGATAGTCGCCGTTTGACAACTGTACTCGAAAGGAGGTTACGTATGTGTTCGAAATCATCAACTACCACTATGAGTGGGTTCTAAGAATCCTTTTCTCACCAATGGGAATCGTAGTCGAGCAGTGCAATAAATGCGGGAAAACGCAAAATTTTCATGAAACAAATGACAAGCATGATCCTTATAAAAAAGGCACCGTTCTGAGGCTGAACAAGAATCCTCCAAACTGCGAAATATCGACGATAAATGGTTACAGTGTGAACTTTCAGGCTGAGACATCTCCTCACTGTCTGAAATTCAAACTTAAAACGTTAGCTCATATGAAGAGGTACAGTGCGTTTCAAAATCATACAGGCACCCCTAGAAACTGCTGTTCTGGGTTAGGATGGACCCATGGATTCAACGTAGTTTATTAAATTTAGCAGGCATTCGAACATCAGTCTGCTTTATTTCATAAAGCAATACGGCCTGGAAACAGTTTTACAAGAACCTTAGACCCCTGTTGTAAAAGTATGAGGCACCCTAGGCATGAGGATAACAGGAAAAATTCTTCTTCCTAACACTTGATTTCAAATTCTTTGGGCGTGCTTAGTGAAAGCACATTACCTCTTTACCAGATCTCGACTGTTCAAGCTTTTTTATATCTAGGAAGAGTTCGTGCACAAGTCAGTTGCTCCATAGCTGCTCAACGTGGCCGATCTCCTGGCTGTGGCTACAATTTTTATCGAAAATCCAGCTTTTCCTAGGAACAGCAGAATCTTAAAAAGGCCACAAGTATCATTCGAATATAAAGTGTGTCATATCCAGCAATCGCTTTCCTTTTCTACCCACCCCAAGACATCTATTCGTCGTGAACTTTCGCTTT